GGCTTTGAAAGGTGGGGGCCAGGTGCACTGAGAGAAAGGTGCTGTCTATCCCTGCCCCCTCCTTCCTTGGCATGGGGCACCCCAGCCTGGGGCTGGCTAGGGGCTGGCTGGATTTTGTGGGGGCTGCATCTCAGGTGCAAAGGTACAAGGCCTGGGTCCCATTCTATAAGCTGACGTCCCCTCCCCGGGCCTCTGCCTCCTGGGACTAGAGGAGGGGCTGCTCCGGACAACCTGTCCTCTCATGTTTCCAGTTAGTAGGAGAAAGTCGCCCTATCCTGGCCCCCTTCTTGGGTTCATTCACTGGTGACCTTTCCCCCAGGTTGTGAAGGAACCTGGGGAGTGGGCTATGCCTATGGAGGTATGTTAATGCGGGTTGACTAGAGAAACACATTCAGAGAGACACTCGTGTGTGTATACAAAAGAGCCTCATAGACAAGGGCAATTGAATATTGAGAAAACCTCCCAGCCCAGTCCAGATCAAGTCCATAAGTCCAATATTAGCTCACATGTCCAATACCAATCTATGAAGTCCTCTTCAGACTCAGGAAACACATGCAATGACGCCGAATGCAAGAAGATCACAGGCCAGTGGGTGGGAAGTCTTGTGGATCCAGTGGTGGTGTAAGCATCTCAGCCCTGACAGGGGTCTCTACATGGCTCCTCCAGCTCCAGGGCACTAACGTAGCACCATGTGTCTTCTCAGCTGGAATGTCTCCCAGGGAGCGTTTGTCCCACCTGTCCCACCTCCAGGAGCTATTTATCTCCTTAGCACCTCCAAATGAGGTCATCAAGCTGTGACCTGATTGACAGACTAAACTCCACCCCTTCACTCAATCCTCTCAAGTTGACACCAGATGATATAATAACTACAGGAGGGGACATGCTGGCCCCTGGGACCAGGCAGGCAGGAGATGCTAGGACCGGTGAGAATGCAGGTGGGCGTGTAGGGATGGCAGCAGGATGTGGCTACCCCTTGTTTCCATGTCTCCTAGCATTTGCTGGGACACCAGCCCATAGGAAGGGGCCTTGGTCCTTCCCTTTCCCTCTGGCCCTAATCTAGATCAGTACCTGTCATAGAGGGGGTGTTCAGGGGCATCTGTTGGGTGAGTGTGCATGGGTGGATGCATAGATGAAGGAAGGACGATTGGATGGGTAACAGTGGGTGATGGATCGGTGAGTAGGTAATAAATGGATGATGGGTGGATGGATAGAGACATGAGTAGCTATATAGGCAGATAGAGGGAAGGTTGAATGGTTGATATTTTGGTGGATAGGCAAATGGTAGGTGATGGATCAGTGGAGAGATTAGTGGGTAGGGAGGTAAATGGGTGGGCGAGCAAAGGGATGGATGGATGATGGATGGCCAGTGGCCATTCTCTTCTCCTGAGACAGGCCTCTCCACAGCTCAGGTGGTCTCCAGCATCTCCCAGGCTTACCTGCCATCAGGAATGTAGAGCAGAGGCTGTTCTCTTTCCACTTCTGTTCAAAAAGTCTCAGAGAAGGATTCTCGTTGGTTCTGTCTGGGTCACACTCTTTGAACCAATCATTGGGGACCAGGCACTAAGTGTCATGAGTGGCCCAGCAGATCCTGGGCTGCCCTGATTCCCAGAAGATGTGGGGAAACACAGCTGGGGCTCTAGAAATTCTTCTGAGCTGCGTACTCCCATGTGGGATACTCTCTCTCCATAAGGCCTGGGCCAGAACCTCCAGGTCATTGAGACATGCAGCAGGCTTCCGACAGTCCGTGATCAGAGCAGCCAAGACCCCCAGTAGCCGAAATAGAGGAAAGAGCTGGGAAGCAAAGAGCATTTATAGAGGTCTAGATAAAGACATGTACATATGCAAATATATTTATATATGA